CGAATGTTAGCAACTGGACAAATTGAATGCAGCGGTCAAGGAAAAGCGACCAGAATTGGTCAATCGTGAAGGTGTCATTTTCCACCAGGACAATGCTAGGCCGCACACGTCTTTGTCCACTCGGCAAAAATTGATGGATATTGGTTGGGAATTGATGTTACACCCACCATATAGCCCTGATCTCGCGCCATCGGATTACCACTTATTTCGATCCCTGGACAACTCACTTCGTGGTAAAACCTTTAACGATGATGACGCTGTAAAATCTCACTTAACTCAGTTTTTGACCGAAAAGGATCAGACTTTCTACGAGCGTGGAATTTTCAAGTTGTCAGAGAGATGGCAAAAAGTCATCGAACAAAATGGAAAATACAGATTAAACTTTATTCCAAGTAAAACAAATTTTTTATTTCATTGAACAAATCGGCAATTACTTAGTTGCCAACCCAATAAGTCTGTGCGTAATGTTTTATTGGTGAAGTGTGATGGATTAATATTAAAAATAATGTACCGTAATAATAAATTTCGTTGTTCTTCAAATCAAATATATGCTGCAAATCTTTTTGGACTATAGCTGAACGACGATGCAACAACTTCTATCGCTTCTTGCTAATTAGACATAATTAAGTTGAGTTGTCAGTTTACGCGTGTCAGTATGAAGTTTATTCTATTTACCAGTTGCTAATAAATCTCTGTGCACGCGAACGAATGAGACGCAACTTCAGTTTTTTCCAATGTGCTCCATTGGCAATTGGCGCCCGTCTCTTTCTCCTGTTGATGACGGTAAACGCGATACGTCGAGACTCGAGGCTGAAACTCGTTACCCTTTACTATGGGTCGTCTTCAGCTTGCCACGGAAGCCTGTCTCGGTATTTACATTTTATAGGAGACTATCGAAAAAGCAGAGCATATTACGATATTTCGTCGTACAGTTAGGATACATGTATATATGCAATGAGTATCGTTAATATTCGGATACCTTTTAAAACTTGGTAACTTTTTCAAAATTCGATCATGTACAGTATCTGACAAATTTATGTGGACACTCTTTAAAACGCAATAACTTTTTTAAGACTGGACTTTATAACTAGAATTTTGTTTAAATGATAATGGGACTAGTCAACTACACAATGACTATAACGCTTTTTTTTTAAATTTTGCTATTATTTGAAATGGCAAAACAAGGAACAAAAATCTCATGTTTGAACTTTTTTATTTGAGCCTATAACGAAAATTTAAAAAATGCTTTTTGTAGAAGTTTGTAACTTATGTTACAGACCTTGAGATAAGCTGTAAACAATTGAAGATCGCGAATATCGCGATATTGTCCCTTTATTTTTTGACACTTTCGACCAATAAGTGTGAGAAATCTGCAATTTTTAAACCTTACAACTTGTCTTTGTATTTTACAAAACACATTTTTTAAATTTTCGTTATAGTCTCAGATAGAGAAGTTAAAAAATATGAGTTTTTTTTATTTTTTTTATCATTCCAAAAAATAGCAAAATTAAAAAATAAACATTATAGCCCGACTATAATTTAAAACAAATTCTAGTCGTTTAGTCCAAGCTTTAAAAATGTACTGCATTTTACTGTAAGCTGAATTTCTTTGAGATGTTAGAGTGACTAGTGTACCAAACAATGTTTAAAAAAATGTTCCTAAAATTGTAATTACTTGGAATGATAAAAAATATTAAAAAGTTGTCCTTTCCAACTTTTCCGTTTGAGCCTAGAATGAAAATTTAACACGTTCAGCGCCACGTCGGTCAAATATGGGTAACACTAATTTCTGACCAAATTTGAAAATTCATTTTCATTGTAATATATTTAAACAAACAGAATTTGACTAGGATTATGATAAATTTTAATTTTCTAGTTTCGATTTGATTAATTAAATTGCTTCAACTTTGTGGGAATTGTGGGCGCTGAACAGCGATTGTGAGCGCTGAACGTATTAAACTGTATATTCTCTAGATTTCGGCAATTTAAACGCATGCTGATTATTTCACCGAAATTACGTTGTTGCAAGCTACAAACATTTAAAGATAGTGAAAATCACAGTTTCTCACGACTTCCGGCCAAATAACTGCAAATAATTCGGAGATTTTTGCTTACAAGTTACCGAGATCTACAAAACGCATTGTTCAAATTTTCGTTCTAGACTCAGATAAAAAAATTTAGGAAATATTATTTAATTTAACTCGTTTAAATTTAAACTAATTTAACTAATTTAATTTAAACACGCGAGTCCACAACATTTTAGAAAACTTCAAATGATCAGACCTAATTTTGAAAAAGTTATCGAGTTTTAAAAGTTTTAACAGGATATTGTGAAATGATCTCGAATTAAAAATACATTCACAAAACAATTTTGTGACAAAAACAAAGTACGTTTATATACATTTAATAGAAACATTAAAATGTCGCGTTGGACTCACGAGTTTAAATTAAATTAGTTTAGTTAGTTTAAATTTAAGTAAGTTAAATTAAAAAATGATACTTCCTAACTTTTTTTAACTGAACCTAGAACGAAAATTATAATAATAGGACGACTTTTTAATGTTTTTATTAAATAGATTAAATAGATTTTATTAAAGATATATTTACATCTTTTGTACACACAATTGACGTTATTTCGAAGTTCGAGTTCATAACGCAATAGGTCATTGAATTCATCTTGACGTCAGCTATGATGCCACGATCTTAAAGGTATTATCACTGGATTATTGGTCATTTTCTAAAGTCAATAATTACAGAAATATCGATAATTCTCGAAAGAAAGAATTCGTAACGTACACCAATCTGCAATAAACGAGCAATAAATGATACTTATTCCTTTTAGGAAAACATAATGTGTCGCATGCGAACGAATAAAGTGTGGATATAATTTCGAGATGGACTTCGGGCCGTCTTTTCGAACGAAATGCTCCACAGTGTGTCGCTCATTCTCAGTTTAATCACTGCTATATTCAGACGTTTCGTTTTTTTTTTGTTTCAGTGATGTGACGCAGCCCATCAGGAATATTTTTATGCAAAATGATTCGTGCCCTTGTCCTTCTGTGCATGGCCGTTCTACCTGTTGTACGATGCCACAAGGTAAGATCATGTCAAGTACCATCGAGATCACCAAGGACACTGTTATTCCGTGCAAAGCGCTTCCTTAAAACAAAGAACCATGTGCGGCACCGTAGTCGTTCGTACCGTTGGCTTCAAATGACAGGGCAGTCACAGGATGAGACGACGCTAATTGTCGATTCGCTACTTATTACGAAGTAAATTCACGGTGCGTAAGCCTTGGCTCCTGTTAGTGACGCCGATTACTTTATTAGCGAACAAAAGAATCCGGTGCTTGTGAGCGCCGCAGAATATTCTTAACGTAATTGAATTGTGACTACATATGAGGAAACATTTGAATAAAAAAAATGAAAAATTATGTTATACGCACGCTCCGGTGTAATTATATGGGAATTTCATTTGTCTCTTGTAATAACACATCATTTCATATGAACGCACAATGGACTATTTAATCGATTTAGACGGTCGAAATTATTTCTATTATATTATTTATTAGAAACACAGTTCTATAAGGATTTATGGCAAAATATAGACAATTTAAGCACAAAAAATCAGAATGATTTTTAACGATTTAATCATTTTTAATGCAATAATGGTCTGCAAAATTAAAAATTCATGGATCGTAATCAGTTAATCAAGCTACAAGCGTTGAAAGATTGAAATAACTGCAGATTTCTTACAGTTTTTGATCAGAAGTATCAAAAATCGTGACAAAACTGCAATTTTTGCGATCTTTAATTGCTCATAGCTCATATCAAGGTCAACCGATTTCGATGAAATTTTCAGCATGCATATAAGTCACCGAGATCTACGAAAGGCATTTTTTAAATTCTAAACTCCGATGATAAAGTTTAAAAAACGCGAGTTTTTTTGTTTCTTTTGTCGTTCCAAGTAATAGCAAAATTGAAAAAACAAATCATTTCAATCATTGTCTAGTATAGTAGTCCCTCTATCATATACAAAAAATTTAAATCATTTAGTCCAGTTGGAAAAAAGTTATTGCGTTTTAAAAGGTATTATATTTTTGCGGGCCGCTTGTATAAGTTTAATCACACGATGATCTGAAAATGATTAATTTTTATCCGAAGAAGCGTTTCTTTCATCATCTGCATCATTTGTATTTTCACTTGGTTGTAGAAAAACTGGTTCACTTGGTTGTTAAAATATATTAAATTCCTTTTAGTAATAACGACATTGAAAAAAAAATATGATTTAAATGTTCTTTAACTTTGTTGATATAAATGCAGTTTCCGTTGAAATATTTCAATAACAAATCACAAATGATTCGATGCTGATTGTAATAAGTTCATAACCTATTTCTAGAGAACTTAGAAGAAACTATATTTATTACTAGACTGATTCTAAGATCAAATAGAAAAAAAAAAAGATTTTATTTTTTCCTTTATTCTCTAATTGGGCTGAACATAATTTATTAGCCTCCTTGTAATTGCTTTAACTTACTGCTATTTTAAATTTCATCCAAAGAATTTTGTTGAATGAGTGCATCAATACCACCAACCATTTGTTACTACATAATACATACAGTTTATATATGCATATACGTTTTTGCGATACGCGACGTTCAGCCTCTTATGGCTTCATTTATTTCCGATAGCATTTGAAAGTTGCAATTGATAATAAAAAAAGAAACACAAACGACGATGAAAATATTTCGTGAAATATGCCTATAAAAATCGCTTGAACATTTACAAATTTTCTACCAAAGTGCTGGCCTCGATTGAGGGGAGCACATCTAGAAAAAAAACCACTTAAATATGCAGTGAAAGAGATTCTATCCACAATGTCCATTGAGAAAATTGCGATGAGTTTGAACCGCGCTCGAGGCGATGGCGAGAGAACATCGTGATGCTGCAAGGTGTAATAAAGTGGAGTATAGCATGGTTAAGTGGGAAAGTGATGACCTTATGATAAAATACATGTTGCGTGTATACGTAATCGTAAATCGTAATACAATAATTATGCGACGTTGATTTCTTGCGATCAACTGTGAGTTTCGTTGCTTCGATGACAAAAGAACTGCGTTTCCAAAATCTTGCCTCTTTGTAGCAGAAATAAGAGTACGGTCACAGGTGTTTCCGTATAAAGAACTGTGGAGTCACTGATACGATTCTCAAAGGCGATACCACTTATTGTTGGCCAGTCGATTAAAAATAGCATACTTCATAGCACAAGCACTGGGTACATTAGCTAACCGGCAAATAGAACCAATACAACTGCAAGGAAACAGTACCACTAGGCACGATCGAATTTCCTAACGTAATGAGTGAAAGTGATCGACCTTAGGAGTCTAACTCAGCATGATAGTTAATTGCAACTCGATTTCTGTGGCACGGTACGTGACTGGGTGCTCATAAATGGTAGAAGCAGACCTTGGGTCGCGATTGGAAAACTTTAAATACACATGTACCTATTGTACAGACCGCGTAAGAATTGAACACGCGGCTAGACTTTGCTGGCATGTGTTCTTCGACAATTGCTGATCAACGTCCTTGCAACGACTGCCAATTAGCCATGCACTTCGTGGCTGCGGACGGGCCTGTAATAAAATGCAAGCAGTTTTATTGTAATCTGAGCTCAAGCGTGGTTGATTAATGATGCCAACTATTGTTAAATCGGAAGGAAGTACCGCTATTTCAAACGATTACGAAATAGCAATTTTCTAAAGGCTTGTGTTTCCAGGTCTTGTCGATCTTCTCCTGTTCGATTTTGTAATCGGTAGAATTATGGTAATTCCATTATATCAACTAATTGGGAGACGAAAAAGGTCAAAAGAGTACATTCTGACGTAGCACATTAACAAGCATTTATCGCTTGTGCAACTGATCTCACACCAGCTTATAACATGGTAAATGTACCTATTATTGCGGATGCACGTTTTACTGCTGTATATTTTCGGAATGAGATTAAACTACGTAAAAATAAATGTTTTGCCCTGAATAACAAATTCAATAATAATGTATTCTTGTCGAAGCGAAATAAATGCTCTCATCTATTCTCATATTTTGAAGAATTTTAAGGCGTATTCTTTATAATAAGTAAAAAAAGATCATTTTTTCTTCTGTCTCGATCACCAAAGGAACTGCTGTCCGAATTATTTTACATTTTTTATATCGCTTTGGCACAAATATCATTAAGAATGTCAGTGTATTGCGGTACGAATTGCAACTCCGATTAGAGTCGAAGTTCACTTTATCCTAATGTTTTAAATTAGGTAACCTAGGTACATGGATATGATACGATTCCGGAGTTCGATTTAATAAAATCGAGATGGTCAGGATTGTGCAATCGCTTTTGAAACCACAGTACATGGAAGTTGTAGTATACAGGGTGTCCCAAAATTATGTTACTTCCTGGAAATAAGAGGTTCCTGGAGTCATTTTAAGTAAGTTTTTCCTTAGCGCAAATGCAATCCGCGGCTTTGTTTACGAGTTATTAACGAAAAACACTGGCCAATGAGAGGCAAGCTCGTCTAGTGCGAGATGACCGTGCCAACGAGCGGTCGAAGCCCAGTTCCGCTTATTGGCTCAGTCGCCTCGCGTCAGCTGATCTCGTCCCTCATTAGTCACTATTTTTCGTTAATAACTCGCAAACAAAGCCGCAGATTGCTTTTTCGGTAAGGAAAAAGTTGCTTAAAATGACTCCAGGAACCTCTTATTTCTAGGAAGTAACAATTTTGAGACACCCTGTAGAACTAATTTTACGAAACCATGATAGAGGGTTCATCAAACTCTGATTTGGAAATGTTCAAGATTTTTAATTTAGCTGTCCGTACAATAACGGTTATATAAACGATGCTCGCAAGAAGATATCGTAACTACACTGGTAGAGTATCTCTTTCATTTTTGTTCTCAATTTTTGTTACATAGGAAATCATTTTTTGTATGATCTTATTCGGATTCTGAAATTGTTAATGCTTTTGCAATATTCTGATAATAATACGCGAATTTACAACTAGTCGATATACGAATGAACTTACTCAACCGCTCCGAGCAGGTAGTCGACAATTCTTTCGAATACATACTGCTTAATATGCTATGACATGCTATGGCAAATAGAGCTATTATTGAAAAGGTTTTATTGAAAAATGAAAACATAATTAATACGAGACAATTAAACGCATAAAATTTTATTTATTGTATTAAAAACTTAATTTAAATAACAGCTTCTCTGAACTTTTGCTTTCAAAACTTATTAACAATTTCTTCGTAGTCTAAAGAATGAACTATATCATTTTCGATGAACATCAGACACAAATCATTTAAATGTAGTTAGGTTAAATTATTTCTTAAATAATTTGTTACTCTCTTTAAAACGAAGAAGGATCTTTCCCCGCTCGCATTACAAATTGGCATGGCAATAAATATTTTTAAAACTATTTTCACATTAGAGAATGTGGATACAAGTCCATTGAGTATAAATTTATACACATCTTCGGGGTTTAATATGACTTCTTCTTTCTGATACTTTAAAAATTGGCGAATTTCATCTCGGAACTGTTCTGTATTAATATCTTTATGGTAAATATTCTTCAAATTCTCAATTTTGCAATCTATTTCTTCTTTTAGATTAAAGTCGAAAAATATTTGAAAATTTTCCAGTTCGTCGTTGTAAACTTCTTTCCTGTTTTGTATTTCTTACAGAAGAATGTCAAATATAACATAATGTACATTAACAGTTCATTCAGTTTCATCTACTTTCTTTATAATTTGTATTTTCTCATAATAAATTTGCATCATTTTCTGTAAATTCAAAGTTGTTCCTCACATATCGTTAATAAATTTTCATAAGGAATTAATTCCATTTAACAAATTAGATTTAATATCTTGTGAAGATTTACTTGCTCAATTTACTCTTTGTAATAATTTATCATAGATACTAAGACTGTGCAAGATATTTATTTTTATTGTATAATAATGTATAATAAGCGTATTAGTATGTGGGAAACTACGTATTTAAGTAATCAATATGAAAATGCTGATATTCTTCTGTGGTATATAATTTTTAATTTTTCTTTTAAATGCGTGATTCTTTCTGAAATTTTTGGTGCCAACTGTTCCACAATTTTTTAATAAGATTCAGATAATGAGATTACATGGGTGATAGTAGGATATTTATACAATGATATCCTTTAAAAATGACATCTTTTCTTAATTCAAAGCAATGTTTGCTAAAATATTGTTGGAAATATCTAAATATCTATATTGCACGTAGCCAGGAGAGTAATAGCAGCAGGACGTCGATTCACGAAAATGAGAATGGAACAATATGGACCGTTTATTTTGAAAGTGGTGCAAGTCCACTTTCTTTCGTTTCGAGAAAATTGAATGTTAGCAGATCTGACAATTAAAAAATATAGCGTAATTATATGAAATCTGGGAATGTTTGTACTAATTTATCAATATGTAATTTGATTATATAAATTTCTTTTAGGCGAATTTAACTAATATAATATACAATTTCCAGGCTGCAAGTGTGAACTTACACCACTTTCATAATTAGTCAATTGTAAATATCATTTAATTTCAATTTTGAAATAACAAATACCACTTAAAATATATCTCATATTAATCCAATTTTATTTATAAATAATAACACGAAATAAAATACGATTAGCATTTTTTATTTTGAACGTTAATTATATTTATATATTGTTAAACTTAACACAAGATATTGGTATTATTAATTATTTATGCTCTTCATGTGGCAATGTTTTGAAATATTCATGATGCATAGGAGGTATATAAGGTAATAGCTGCTGCATATCCTTATATTTTTCGTATGTAATAAGCTCGGCATCGTGATAGAAATTTGACTTATACCACTTTCATAATCAATGGTTACGCAGTTTCTTTTACCGGCCAATTTTAAATTGAACAAAGCATTGGCATTTTTTAAGATATTAAATACTAACTAGTTATAAACAAAAAGTTTACACTAAATTAAGCATAAATTACGTCATATCTCATTTTTTTTTTTAAAAAGGACTTACACTACTTTCGAAATAAACGGACCATATAACGATTTTTGGTGCACGATTTTTGACTTTTGACAGCTCGTTGCTTTATACACCAACTGTGGCTTGTTTACGTACGCATGTATATGTATTTCGAATTCTAATACGCAGTAATGGATACGCAATAATTGGTACATTTCTTTTTCATCCGAAGCAATACGTACAAAATATAATCGACTTTATTCTTACATATTTTCTTATGTGATATTTCGTTTTGAAGGCCATTAATCTTGATTGTTATCCAGAACACATCATTCTTCAATAAAATGCTCAAACATATTATTATTTTATGATAAATTATGAGAAACATTGAAATAAAATACGATCGAAGCATGATGCCGCAGTAATTAGTACTTTTACCCTAGATCAAGGCTCGAATCACTCCTACTGGCATCAAAGCTAATGGATTTTGACCATCTTTATGATCATCATCATCGGAGTACGTGGTATATTCGTCATCACTTCGCGAAGGATGATTTATACCACGGCTCGGAATTAATCAGCGCGCAACGTGAGGCTCGCGAGAGCTACGCCTTCTGACTCCTGTCGCGCGTCTAGCTCCCCGATGATCGCCTAAATGCCACACACACAGTCGAAAGTGGCGTCCACGGAGGCGAGACGCGCGACGGAAGTCAGGAGGCGTAGCTCTCGCGATCCTCATGTCGCGTGCTGGTTTATTCCGTGCCCTAGATGCACCAAGAATAGATGACAATCCGCATAACAAAGAAATAAATAAGATGAAAATGTCTGCAAAGAAGATTAGTTTCAGCAGCCTAGTCGCTCAAAACGATGTTTATTAACTTCAATACATTGTTGCAATCTTGTGTTCCTTGTAGGTTTTCGATTAATCTCCGCACGTGCAATTCCACTATTTATGACATTCAAGGTAGCGCGAAGGTCATCGTTTTCATGATATTAAAGATTTTTGAATTCGCATCGACCTCGATTATTATGCGACGGTA